CTTTATGCCTGCAATGAATTGCCTGTTAACGTCCCGTGTTACAAATCGAAATGGATTAAGCAGTACAAATCATTTGCTATTCATATTTACGGCTACTTAGCCCTTCGTACCGACATGACAATAGTACACTTCATTCTTCTCGGTGAAATCCAAGTGATTCCAATAAATGGAACAAACTGTTCAAACTATGAATGAAGTTGAGAGGAAGTTCAACTGTTAATAGATGCAATAGATGAAAAATCACGCGACCTCTTAGCCACTCTATAGGCCACTTAAAAACCTGCAAATTGAGCAATTTTATGACACTTTTTAAAGGGTGATATGGAGCAATGTGCAAAGTTTCAGTCAAATAATAACATTTGCTACAACTGCTTGAGTAAAAAAGTGTAAGACTCACGTTGTTCAAAAACAGTGGTACTAGGAACAAAGTGATTTGGCAGGGGCACAATCACCGTTGATGTAAGCCGAGACGAATCATTTGAGAGGGGCTAAAAAAATAGACCAGTTGTAAGCTACATTTGTACTCGCCGTCAACTTACCACATCGATGTTGGAGCAGTGTCGCGAGACATAGCAGAGACGAACTGAGTTCGCAAGACAAGAGGAAATATGATGGCGAAAAAAGGGAACAGAACGAGTAAAAACGGAGATGATCATTCCGAACTGTTATTGCAAGTATCACCGCAGCAATCTGTGAGAAAAATGGTTGCAAGATTTCGAAGTCGTGGATCTTCAGTGCCTCCAGCTAACAAGCCGCGAGCAAACTCAACAACAGTGGGGAAATGTTTTCTGACCGAGGTGTGGAAAGCGGTAGTTGAGCTGGTTGATTCAAAGAAGACACAATTTTGTTCTTCTAGATGGACGGAAGGGGCACATAGGTGAACAAATATAGTGAGACAGTTAACCCAAGTCCCTGATTCAAGAGCAGGGGACTGAAGGCAAGTGAGGACTGGCGAGAGTTCCTGCTGATTGTGAGAGAAACGAAGACGCAGACTCTGAGAACTAGTAACTAGATTACAGATTCCTGCTACAGCTAGAGATACGAGTTTTTCGGAAGCCGCAGCAGCTTTCCTTTGGCTATTTGGAGAGAGGACTATTTGAAGATGTTCGCGGATGATTTCAAGGAGGATAAGATGGACGTCAAGACTGATTAGTTGCGGGCAGTTACGAGGGTCGTGTGCAAAGTTTCCGAGATTGGCAACGATCTAAACGTGAACCTTAGAAAAACAGCGTTACCTGCTGCTTGTATTCGATGAGATTGGTAACGCACAATTCGTTAACAAGGGCTTCGAGGTATTGAAGTCGTTCAACACTTCCCGGAGCGGCACGACCAGCACTTGGACGCAGTTCTGGATCGGTTCGATAACGTTTAGAGGACTTCTTTAGCTTGATCGATGTCATATACGTGAAAAGATGTGTTTACTACGTGAAATACGTTCATTTAATCACCTTAGTAATCTACACCTAAATAATTATTTTCGATTCTTCTCTGGATGCTATCAAGAAAAAAACAATTCGATAATGCCAAATGATTACTAACTTAAAACAATTTAACGCACGGGTGAATAATTTCAGCGAGAACGAAATTTTAAGGAAAAATTCAGACAAGCTCACCCCAACGCGGAACCACTCCAGCAAGCGACAACCGCAAGAACAGTATAGCCAATAGGAATCAGCCAAGGTCACAACTATTACACAAATATCTGATGGAACGGATCTTCTGATTAAACATGTGGCCC